AGGTTGAGAAGTTAGAGGGTTGACATGTTGTGGGGCTGTTAACCAATGTCATAAAACAGTATGTGTACTACTGTTTCACGAGAAACTATTTGTTCTGTAAGCCTTCACCTGAAGTACAATTAAAAAAAAAAAAAACTTGTGGATTTGGCCGTGATCAGAAACAACTGATGGAGCTAAAGGAAATGATTCCACTTAGAAAACGCCTACTGCTCTCACTCATGAAGATGCTGATTATCCTGCTTATGTTATGGCCAATATTAGGTCCCCAACACTCCTCCTTCCTGCTGACACATCACATGTAGTGATACGGAAGTGTAGATCAGACTACAGAAATTCTTACTAGAAAACATTCTATCAAAGGGCTAAAGAGCCAAGACTGACCATTGACTCTGCTTTGTACTTCAACTTTTTGGCCTCCTTCATGTGAAAATCTGCTTGTTGTCTGAAAGAAAAGAGGAAAAATCAGGGGTGGGTCACATAAACCTAAAATTACTAGGCTGGGGGCAAGATGATCTAAGAAGAATAAAAAAAATGCGAAAGAGGATAGGGGAGAGTGATGAGGGAAGCTGAGCAAAGGGGACCAGGAGATGAGGAGGCGGGGAGAAGAAGAGGGATGAGGCAAGGAGAAGAAAGAAATGGGAGAAAAATATCCAAAGTCTTACTTGTCAAACTTCACTTGAGGCTTCCCTGATTTAGAGTTACCATTTGGCAATGAAGGCACTGGAAAAGGATTTGCAGTATCTCCAGCAGATCCCTTAAAAAAAAAAAAAAAATCATCATATAGATTACACTCTAACATTTAAGATCATTGTCCTAAAAGTACCATCCCTCTTAATTACACCAAAATAGTTAACTCAAAAAAAGAGGAAATCAAACATTGCACAGTTTAGCTCTATCAACCATTTCCCAGCTACAGATACAACTGAAGCTGAAGCTGTAGGTTCTTATTACACTGAGGACTCAAAAAGATACAGTAGTCCCCCTTATCTGCACTGGATACGTTCCAAGACCCCCTGTGGATACCTGAAACCATGGATAGTACCAAGCCCTATATGTACTATGTTTTGACCTATATGTACGTACCTATGATAAAGCTTAATTTATAAATTAGGTACAATAAGAGATTAACAACAATAATTAATAATAAAATAGAACAATTATAACAATATACTGCAGTAAAAGTTATATGAATGTGGTCCCCGGGTGCGATGGAGTGGGAAGGCATGAGATTTGATCACACTACTCGTTTAATAATTTTGGACTGTGGTTGACCGCAGGTAACTGAAACTGGGGAAAGTGAAACTGCAGATAAGGGGTGGGGGTTGGGGGGCTACACAAGAGAGTCCAAGAGAAAAGATCATCAACAAAGCCAAACATGGTATGCTCTCTTAGTCAATGTACACACACACACAAACACTAAGTTAACAGGAAGAGAGAAAACTTTGTATTTGAGAAAGTAGATAATTTTTCCCATTATAACCCATAATAAATGTTGAGATTGAATATTCAAACCGATAACTAACAGGGCAGCCACTTCTTACTACAAAAACACCTGATAGAAAATTAGTACAAAAACCTATTATTTTTCACCTCTGAACCACTTCCTTTAAGAATAAGCAGACACCTAAAATTTTATGTAATATTCTTTTATTCTCTCCCAACACGTAGAATGTTAAATATAAGCAACTCATTATTGCCTTATTAAAACTGATGAATAGCTCTGAAATACCATCATTAGGGACTTGTAATCTGATTCGGGAATTTAAAGCAAAGATACACCAAAACATTCCACTTTACATAGTTACCAATTCCCCCACTTACTTTGTGTTCTGCAGAGCTTCCAGACCCCTTCCCGTCTACTTTTCTGTGCTTGGAAATGGAAGAGTCTTTGTGGTTGCTCTTGGTACTACTGGTACTTTTGCGGGGGTCCTGGCCACAGGTGTCTGCTTCTTGCCTTGGCCTCTTGTGTGCAGGCTTAGCTGGCTTCTGGGACGATGAGGATGAGGATGAAACAGGTGGTGGAGGAAGCATTTCCTTCTTTGAGGGCTCAGATGAAGGCCTGGCTGTTCTGGAGTAAAGCATCATACAAAACTAAGTGGAGGCAGAACACAATCATGCAGCTTAGCTGTTTAGTTATAAGGAAGGCAGCTGCTGGTACAACAGATTAAGATATCACAGAGCATAAAAATCTGTTTGTAAGAAGGCTAAATTTCAGGGACTTTCTGAAGCCCTATCTATTAGTAGTACATGAGCTTGCAGCTGTATGCTTTTTCACTAAGTTTGCAGAGTCTTCCAATGGTCCTAAATCTCCCTGAGTAGGTCTTGCATCAGCTGCTCCCTAACGTGAACCTTTTTCTGAAAGCAGGCAAGCCCAGCTGCCACCTTCACTTCTGACTCCTCTCTCTCTCTCTCTCTCTCTCGGCTCCTACCTGGAAACACTACGCAATTGTTTTTGTGAAGCAATTTCTTGAATAAATCAGAGAATAAACAACAGCCACTTTTTATCTTCACAACTTTCTGGCACTACCACCTCTTACCTGCCATTCCTCTTCCCAGCCACAGTCAGGTGAGGAGCCCTACAGATTAGATTCTCACTCATCTCTAAAAGAAAAAGCACTAAAGCCAGATTCCTGGAATCCAAATGCTGGCCCCACCCACTAAGAATTCTGGGCGAGCCATTTTATCTTCCTGTGTCTGTTTCCTTATCTGCAAAGAAGGGATAATAGCAGCACCTTCCTTATTAGATGGGATTTTTGGGAACACATTCCTTTAGAAAAAATAAATAAATTTAGGTGTTAGGAAAATTTCCACAGTTGAAATCTCTATACTCACTTTGTTTTAGTAGATTCTTTATGGGAGGATGAAGATGAAGATGATGACTGTGATTTGGTTTCTTTTTCCAGTCTGATTTTCTTGCTATCATGGTCTTTTTCTGCTTCACCCTATGATTATAGTATAACAAAACAGTTACAAACGTTTAACTGTACAAGCAAAACAGAAAAAGAATATAACAAAGGCAATGAGAGTAATTAGACTTTTTAAGACATCTATACACACCCAGCATATGTACTAGTAGTAGATTTGCATAAGGAAAGACGATTCTTCATACTCATGAATAGGAGGATGTCTAAACTTAATAGCTGACAACAAAAACAAGAAGTAGCCATCTACCACCACTGGGATTTTTCTCAGTACAAAAGAAGAAACTGTGCATATTCACAACAAATAATGCATGGGGTGAATTTATGAGTATGTTTCCTTCTTTCTTTCAAAAGAACCATCCACTTACATCCACTAATTATTTGTATACAATTAAGTGTGGATTACTTAAAGCTTTCTAACAAAAAATAATTGTATTGTTGAAAAAGAAACTGGTTACAAAATCCTCCGTCTGTATCACAGAATCGGAAAGACGTACAACAAAATAAAAAACAGTTACTTTAGGATTCTGGCTAACTTTTTTTGTCCTTCACTGATACAATTTCCTTTTTAAAAAATACTGTCTTTATATATATGAAGATAAGTTTTTATTTTTCAAAGAAACTGATAGATATGATTGAGGGGGGATAAAAAGAGGAAGAGAATACTTAACTCTACAGGAGTTATTAAGTACCTCAAGCGCACCAATTTATCCTAACCAAACCAACCAAAACAAAAACTCACTGCCGTCAAGTCGATTCACAGTCATAGCGACCCTGCTGGACAGAGTAGAACTGCCCCACAGGGTTTTCAAGGCTGTAAATCTTTATGGAAACAGACTGGCACATCCTTCTCCTGCACAGCAGCAGCTGGTAGGTTTGAATCGCCAACCTTTCAGTTAGCAGCCAAGCACTTAACCACTGCGCCACCAGGGCTCCTTTACACCAACCAAAGAACAAAGAATTCTTTAGAATTCTTCTCAATTCTTTTTCATGTTCTTGTGCCTTCACTTGTCAACATGCATCCCAACTTCAAAATAAGTCTAACATGACTCAGAACATCAGGACTCCTACTGGTCTGGCTGCGGGTATGGGAAGAAAAAGCCCACATATTCTGTAGTAAGTGACAGTGACGTGATCGGTGGGAGTCCTTCAATTAACTCCAGTGTGCATTTAGAACTAAACTCCTCCAACTGACTGTCAGTTCACTGCATTAGAAATCTGGGACACCACCAGTCAATTTAGGACAATCCCTAAAAAACCTGAAATTATCTCTAAAAGCCTAAAAGGAACAGAAAATTATTCACATTAACTGGTTGTGGGAGGCCCCAGTTTTCACCACTGTCTGTCCCTCTTTCCCTGAATTCATCCAAGAAAAATGAATACATTAAGATATGGTGGGCTCAAGCTCTGCCCAGATGCTAATTAGCAACCTGGCCCCTCTCAAAAGAAGGGGAAATTGAAAACATTCCCTTCCTTCTCAGGGTGTTCTGCAAACAAATGTGCACTTCCATCTAGCCCTTCATAGGCATCTTTAGAAAAACACTTTTAGTAACTTATTCACTGTCTTGTTTCAAAAATGGAGTCATTCAAGGTGGCTTATAAAGACACCTGTTTTTAATCTTACGGGGTGTGTGTGCCAAGTGAGAACACTGAGGAGGAGGGAAAATATGGGTAGAAAAGATAAATAAAGCCAAAGGGAGGTTTGTAGCATTAGAGGGCATCGATTCCGCACTGTCCTACGCACTCCAGTCCAGGAGCCACACCCCATGTGTCTGTGTGTCCAGTGAGCACCCAAACGTGTCCAGCTCAAACTGAAAAGTGACCTCAAAGACTTCATGCAAAGAACCAGAACCAGTTTCCATGGCATTGATTCCAACTCCTGGTGACCCCATGTGTGTCAGAGTATTTTGCTCCAAGGGCTTTTCAATGGTTCATTTTTCAGAAGACAATTACCGGGCTTTTCTTTCGAGGTGCCTCTGGAGGGTCTTGAACCACCAACCTTTAGGTTAGCAGCCACGCATGTAAACCATCTGTACCAACCAGAGACTCCCATGGGAGAAAAGGGCATGTAATAATTTTTTACATTCATTAAATGCTGTAATATTTTAGATATACTGGATTAAATTAAATTATTATTAAAATTGCTTTCACTTTTTTTTTTTAACTTTTTTCTCCCCTTTAGCTTTTTAATGTAGCTATTGGAAAATTTAAAATGACGTGTGGCTTGCATTATATCTCTACTGAACAGTGCTGTTCTGCACACTTTGCTAAAAGGTGATCCGCAAATTGAACTTCTAAGTAGCCAATGCAAAGAAGGAATTATAAAATGCACATGTAAAATAAGATAAAAACAAATAAGTTGCTCTGAAATACAGCCCATTCATTACAGAAGATTGGAGAAAATGTATCTTAAGGGCCCTAATAAGGAGATAACGTATGATGTAAATAAGCATGTCATAAATGCACAGCTGAAACGCAACAGGAAATTCCATACAGCTGTTCCAGCAGAAGAATACTGGAGCACAATTCAGGAAAAGTGAAAAGGACTGGCATATGCCAGGAGAAAACGGCGGGGCTTGGCAATGGGTCCTTCTTTGCACAGCCTACAAACCAGGGCTCCTAACAGCTTCTGGTTTGACCCTCCTGCTGAGAGTTTGCCTTTCTAACGAGTTCTCAGGCAATGGTAATGATGCTGGCGTAAGAATCACCTGGGGATCTTGCTAAAATGTAGATTCTAACTCAGTATATCTGGGATGGAAATACAAATTCCGAGCAGGGGGGCTGAACCAAAACAAAACAAAAAAAAACCAAACTGGTTCAAAGCCGTGATACAAACTTCCCATACAATGATGTGAGAGATGGTTAATACTGGCAGAGAGAAAAAGAATACATTAAAAATGACTGGATTAAAATACACCCCTACTACTGACATGGCAACTCCCTTGCTAATCAAGCACCTACTGTACCCAAGGTACCTTGCCACCAAGAGGTCCAGTGAATTCTCTGCGCACAGTTGGCCCCAACAGGCTCTGCTGGCCAGGAAAGCACTGTAAGAAGATGGGAAATTTGCCTTTGGGAAAAGTCTCAAAAATTGCTAAAATATCCAGACGGATATTGACTTGTACATAAGGTGGTTACTAATATATAAATGATAGGTATTTCCAGGCAGTTATGACACACTAGAGAAATACCCAAGGCAAAACTAAGCATAAACAATCTACAAGGTTATTTCCCAAAGAAAATACCAAACCCTGGAGGTGGAATGAGAGTTTTGTTTGTATATTTTCATAATGCTTAGGATATGCTAGGTTTGACTATAAACCAAAGTGGCAGATGTCATAAACCACACATGGAAATAAAGATTCGCAGCGAGTCAACCTTCACAAACCGGTTATCACTCTGGTTTGTGCCAATCAGTTAACTCAAGGGAACAGCAAACAGACAGTAAATCACCACTACTAAATTCAACGCTAGTATTTAACAACTGTGTTGGCACATACTGCAGTAATATGCTTTATACTGATATTTATCA